ATTTGGAATTTAAAAAAATTGTAAATAGTTTTCGAACTTTTAACTGCTTTTTCATAAAAACCTCGCCGTTTAAATTTTCTTCGCAAGTTGAAAGTACAAACTTGTGATATTTTCATGAGTTCCCATGAATGTAGCTTATTTTTATCTCACAAAAATGTTAAGTCCATTGCCGAATTGTTTTTTAGTAAATTTTCTTCTATGTATTTTATTGAAAATTTGTTTCTAAACTTGAACGCTGGAATGTACACGCCTATTTTTTTTACTACCAATTGCTCTCTGTTTAATATTTTTTTTGTGAAATTCTGCGTGCGTATGTTTGTGTGTGGTTTTGTAATTTTTAATATACTATATGTACATATTTTTTTCTACACTTAATTTATTTGCATCTGCACAGCAGAGAATTCTTTTTAAATACAATAATTTCAATTCAGTAATTTCGAAAAATTTCTTCACTAAAGTTTCGTTAACTTATGCTATTGGTTTTAACTTTGTAATGTACTTTGAATTTTTATATTTTAACTGTTTTCGCGTTTTTAATTATATATTAAAGTATTGGCTCAGAGTCTATAAATTTATGAGTCTACTCCTTTATTTTTAAAGTGGAATCAGTTTTCCAACATTTCAAATTTGTTTCCACNCATATTAAAGTATTGGATCAGAGTGTATAAATTTATGAGTCTACTCTTTTATTTTTAAAGTGGAATCAGTTTTCCAACATTTCAAATTTGTTTCCACATTTCACCACAAAAATTTTGGTATTTCAAAAATATGTTCACGTAATAGGCTAGAAGCTCGGAGAGTGAGAAAGTGAGTGAGTGCGTGAAGAAGATAAAACTATGCCGAATACAAAGTGAGCAAAGAGCACAAAATACAACAATAACATACAAAGAAGCTGGCGTATAAGAGCAAAAGAGTGGGGCTGAGATAGCGAGAGGAAGAAAGAGGTAGATAGATTGAGTGCCATCGGTGCAGAGAGTTTATGCGCTGCAGTGTTGTATCATAAATGTGAAAAGGGAAGAGTGTCAGACCTGCAGTATGTGTTCGAGCTGGGTAAATAGAGAGTGTAAACCATCCCAGAAGATAATTTAGGCAGGCCTTCTTAAGTGAAGAATTTCTGAAAGGCCAACCAAAGAAGGGCTGAAAAAAGTGCTTGCCTGCATGGCTTCTAGAAGGCCTTTCTATTGACAATTTCCGTGAATGCGTAAATTTATATTATTTAACATTACAAATAAATTTAAATATGCATTTCAGATTGCAATAAAACATATTTGATATGAACCTTAAATAAAAATCTACAAAAAGAAGTATGATTTTTTTGAATTAAAGAAGTAGCTCCTCCAAAAATCCTTCTGTAATATGTCTTACAAAAGCACCTCTGGAAGACCTTCTATGGGTAGCGAAAGCAAAAGGCCTTCAATTTTTGCCACTCCATACAAAAAAGAAAGGAGAAAGGAATGTAGAGTGGAAGGCCTGTTGATTCTCAGGAATGCCTTTCAGATGGGCTTTTAACTCCTGAAATTATTTATTTAGTTGGCCTTTTGGAGGAGTTCTTTTAAAGTTGCTTCTTAAATTTATAAAAATCATACATCTTTGAAGTATTTGCTTAAGGATTTTTATATGAAATATGTGTTATTGCAACTTAAACTGTTTATTGAAATTCATTTCTAATGCTAAATAATATAAATTTATGCATTCGTGTAAATTGTAAATTTAAGGCATGCAAGGAAACACTTTTTTCAGCCCTTCTTGGAAAGGCCTCTTACAATGGCTTCACTTAAGAAGGCCTACCTAAATTTTCTCTGGGTTAAGAGCTGAGCTTCTCTGTTTCAGTTTCATTCGTTTGAGTCTGACTGTTCAGTGGTTTTAAATATTTCTCGTTTGCCGTGCGTTTTATTTGATTTGCCCATTGTTCGGAAATGCATCAATGCAAAGCGTTAGTCTAGCCAACTTGTGCAACTAGAGTTACATATGTAAATCCCGATTTGGGTCTTAGTTGCGCAGATTGCAAATAAAAGAGGCTACTGCTTTGCATTGATGCATTTCCGAACGGACGATCGTTTTGCGTGATTTGTTAGCCTAACTTGATTTTTGAATAGTTCAACACTGATTTTTTTTCTTTAACTATTTTTTACTCTATTAGTTTTTTACAGTGCGTTTACAGATTTTTCGCCCCTTTTACAAAATCTATAAAAACAGCGTTGAAATGAATTTCGCTTAATACCCGCTTTTACAGTCTTGCGCGACTGCTTAGCATTCTGGCTAACTGCCAAGTTGAAAAGTTGAATCGTTTATTTATTTTTATTTTTTCAAATATAAAATATATTGAAATCATCAAATTTACAATAGTACATACGTTTATTTTATAAAAATTATTTACACACAATTTTCGTATACATACAAAAACCTAGGCGCTTAAAAGTATACGTACATAAAATTTAATATATATTTTTTTTGTATGAAAAAAAATGGGTCTTTAAGTTAGCGGTAAACGTTTTTAAAATCTTTGTTTCTTTCTTTTGTTAGTCTAAATAGTCATAGCTACTGATTTTTTTTTTATATAGGTTTATCTCTTTAACTAGTATATTTCCTTTAAATATATAAGTTTTTTAAATGCAATCATAGACCTGAATATGGAGTTTTGAGTTAAAAAAATTTCACTACGCATTAATGTCTATTTAGTTTTAATTTAACGCAATGCAAGTTCACTACAAGAATAAGAGCGCCATTTTGCTTAATCTGGCAACGCTTTTTAGTGTAAGAAACCCGTTACTCGCATTTGCTTTACAATAGTTATAGTTTAACAGTTATTTTAAAAATTTTTGGTTCTTGCGTATGTATGTGTATGTATATTTTGTTTTTATTTGAAATTCTATTTACTTATTTTCGGCTGCATAAATTTACCGTTGAGTATTCATGGGTTTCTTTAACTTTCTCTGTGTTTGATTCGCACAATTTTACTATCTTCTATTTTTTACATGTGATTTTTTCGTTTAGTTTTTTGTTTATTGACGTCACAAAAATTTTACTTCGCTTACTCACTTTGGAATTCATAATAATAATTTAAATTAAAAGTGAGGTTAAGGTTAAGCTTTTTTTTTGGTGTCGCTGGGGTGTGGGATTTGAGATTAGCTTTTTGCTTGCTTGGTAATCATGATAGCTTGAGGATAAGAAATGTTTACAAAGCACAATCAAAGATGAGACATTGAAAAAGTTTTTTTTGAAACTTTTCCGAAAAGTTACATATTCCATTGGAAACTCTGAAATTTTGTAATGCACGAATTTTCTTTAAATTTAAATCAAAGTTTTGAATATTTACAATTGATGTAAAATTTTTTCTAAAAATTATGTATGTAAGAAAGCAAGTCAAAATTTCGAGACACATAGTATTAAAACTGTATAAAAGCGAGGTAAAAAGTACCCTTGCATTAGAAATTTTTGGTAACTTGATTATTTGAATTCGAATTTTTTTTGCGAAATGTGTTTTTTCCCGAAATTTTCAGTGACAATATCGGTTACAGTGACAAATTTCTTAAAAGCTGTTAGAAAATTTTAAATATTTTTCAGACAATATTTTTTTATACCAAGCTTTCAAGCAAATTTAAATAAGAGCACTAGTGTTAGCATTTTTTTTGTTAAATAATTTTATAACCAAGCACGGTATATACCCTTTTATTTGTTTAAAATAATTTTCAATATTTAATTTTATTCATTTCGCATTTAGACATATACATATATTACTTATAATATAACTAAAAAATTTAATGTAAAAAAATGTAAATATTTTAAATATAACCTAAATAGTTTTTCTTTCACTTATATACTTTTTATTATAAAATTTATTCATATATATGTATATTTAAACTAAAACAAATAAAAACCTAATAAATTACAAATGCATACAATGGGGCAACACTCAACAACATAAGGCAAATTTAACGGTAACGTATTTATAAATTCATCACCGTTAACACAACAACGTGTGGCGAACCAACTTAAGCACTTCTTTCGTCTACGAAAAGGTGTAATGTCCTACTAAATTGCATGAAATATGCTTCGACGATGAGCTATAAAGAAATTTTTAAAAATTTTATAACATAATTATGTAGCTTTATGCGTGTGTTATGCTTGTAATGTTTCGTATAAATTGTACCAGTGTAATTTTGTTAAATAAAATGGCGACGAAGTGCGTGTAGTCAATCTAAAATATTATTTCCTTGGTCAGAAAAATTACAGCAATGTTTAAACACAATAAATTAATATCAGGTATTTTTATTATTGTTTTCATTAAAAAAAACAGCAAAAGTTAAGGTAAAGCATTTCAGTTGAATTATGCTGTTAACCATTCTTCTTGCATTTAGTTTAATCAAGGAGTTCCCGAAACAAGTACAACAAAAAATAATCAACTATTTGAACAATTTCAGCCTTAAAACGTTTATTTAGGTGAAAAAGTACTTAAATTGCTAAATTTTCATTTCATTGTCACTGGTAAAAATCATGTTTTTGTTTTTAATAACTTTGGGAAGTTTTAAAATAGAATGTTCATATTAGAGGCCATGAAAGTTGGCATCATATACAGCATATCTGTGAAGTTTCAAAAGTGTGCCAGTAAATTAGCAAAAATGGCAGCATTTGCCGCAGCTATTTTGTAATTTTTGAATTTTAACGATTTTCTCATTTTCAAAGTTTAAGATACTTTAAATTGTCAACATTAAATGGTGAATATGTTCTTCTTGCCAAAAAGAAGCAATCTATAGTAATAAAACTAAATGAAAAAAAAATTAAAATTCATCAAGTATAAGATGACGATGATTTGCGAAACAAAAATTCCAATTTTCAAATTTTTATTAGGACACTCCAAATTCATTCTAAAATGTTATATACATGAAGAAATTAATATATGTATGTATATATTCGCGAAGAATGTTGTAGAAAAATATTCCACGCCAATATTTAATTACTTTTAAATAATATGACTTTTTAGGTTAAGGCTTGCTTGGTTGTTTTGACTTTTTTAGTATATCACTTTTTAGCCATGTAGCCAAATTTTGTATATTTCAAAAATTACTAAAATTACTAAAATAAAAAAAAATATTTAAAATAAATTTATTAATGAAAAAAAAAAAATACTTCACATAATACTAACTTTGTTGTCTACGCGCATTCGTCGCCATAAAATTCTAAGTCTTATTTTGGACGTAAATTCCTCCATATTGCAACTTGAACACTCTCTAAATCTATTTCGCATTAAAGTTTCTTTCCTTTCTAAACTTTTTAAAAAATATGCACAGAGTTACATACAAGTACACTACAACAATTGCTCGTTTCTTTAACTTTTCAAAAACACAAACTAAGCTAAAACTACACAACAACACTAGTGTTCAAAACTGTTACAATCATACATACTTATATGTATGTACGTATATAGGTAGATAAAATTACACTTAGTAGGTATATAGGATTTGGATTTGATGCCGATTTTTCGCTAATAATTTTCTAATAGAAGGCCACGCAACACAACTAAGCCACGTTTCACGTTCCATGCTGTTCTCGATTCTTTGGGTTGATGCTTGATTTGGTGTTGGACTATTACGGTGTGTGTGTGTGTTGCGCACAATTATTATTATAAATCCGCCGCGCTGCTGCCTCTCTGCCCTCCGCTAAACGCACAAGTACACGCCGTCATTGCGGCTGATCAACTGCCGCCGGACTGCTGCCACATTGGTTTGTTGCCGCAACAATTTACCAACTGTAAGCCGCCGCTGCTGCCGCATGTTTACCGTACGCTTCCGCAGAGGGAGGGGAAAATTTTTATGACGTCTCTAAAAATCATACTTTGAACGTTTTTTCGCGTCGTTGTTGCCTGCTCGATTGCGACACACCGCCATTGGCCAGATGGTGTTGATGGCCGCCCGTGCTGCTGCCACATAGCGCTGTATCATCGCACGCATAGGTGGCAATGCGATGATCGCTGCGTGAACGTTCACGATCATGTGTACGCTCGCCACGATGATCGCTGCTACGGAATTTGCCACCACCACCTGATGCTTGCTGCAATTGCTGCTGTAACTGTTGCTGCTGTTGAGAACGGCGATTACCTAACCGTTGCAGTTCGTAATCACGCGCATCCGCTACATCGAAGGTGGCGGCACGTTGGTGTTTCAACGCTGAAGCAGCCGCGCTACCCCGCGACGAACTGTGGCGGTGATGCGACTCTCGATCGCGCTCACGTTCGCGTTCGCGGTCTCGTTCCCGGTCTCTTTCCTTTTCCCGTTCTCGTTCTCGTTCTCTCTCGCGTTCACGATCTCGATCGCATTGTTGTTGCGCCTGTGACGCTGACCCGTGATGGTGGTGATGATGCCCATCGTATTGCTCGGGACAGTATTCATCGTATTCGTGATCGTCGCATGTCATCGTCGTCGCTGAGGATGTCGCTGCAATGGTTGTGCCCTTGCCAGTGGTCTGACTTTCGCGCGTCGGCATTGTTGTGGTGCCTACGCTGGCAGAGGAACGATGCTTCTTCGGCGGCAATGGTATGGGTGGTGGTGCGGCCGTCTGTGCGGCTGCAGCTGCTGCGGTTGGTGGCGCAGCTGTTGTGGGACACGTTGTCGTACGTCGCACAACATCCACGCCGCCACCGCAGCAGGCACACTCCTACAATTCGGTGACCGAATAGAGATCGTTGTTGGCGTGTGAGCCACCGCGCTTAAGCGACCGATAGTACAGCTGCTGCTGTTGTGCCTCAATTAAATACTGTTGCTGCTGTTGTTGTTGCTGTTGCCGTTGATGTTGCTCTTTGTTGCTAATTGCGCCGTGATAGTTGTTGTTGGGCGTGGTTGCGGCGGCATGCCGCTGCGCTTGCTGTTGCTGTAGCGTGTACGAGTCATAAGAATGCTGCTTCTTCATGCCACCGCTACCGAATTGTTGCTCGATGAAGGCCATGCCGCTACTACTGCTGGCAGTACGCGCGTTATCGAGCGTTTCGGCACGTCTGGGGCGTTCGTGACGCTCTGCGCGTTCACGTTCACGATCACGCTCGTAGCTGTAGGCGCTGGTGGCGGATTGCTGCTGCCGCAGACTAGCCGACTTTGGGGGCAAAGTCTGCAAGTGATTGGCATTAAGAGTGCCGCCGGCGGTCGAGGTGCTTATTTCGCGTGAAGTCTTCTTCTTAGGCGGCAACGAGGGTGGCTGCTGCTGCTGCAGTTGTGGCTGTGCCGTCATAGCTGCGGTGGGCAATAGCATTTTTTGTGCTTGTGGTCGTTGTAATGAACGATACTGATTGAGATTGGCAGCGCACAGTGGTTGTGGCGATATTTTCGACTGTTGCGCCTGCGCTTGCTGTGGAATCTCTGGCAACGGTTGATTGACAATTGAAGCGGGATTCAGTGAACGTTGCGGCGGTGGCCGTGGTGGATCGCGTGGTGCGCCTGTGGGTGGTGGCGGCTGCTGTTGTGCAACGATCATATGCTGCTGTATTTGCTGTGGCTGTGACGACGCTTGCTGTTGCTGTAGCTGCTGCTGCTGCTGCTGCGTCTGCGGCTGATAGCCCGACGTTTCGATGCTGTACACAGCCGAAGGCGGTAGTATATGCGTCGTGGGCGGGTGATGCTGGTGCAGCTGCTGATGCAGCGTCGGCTGCTGTTGCATCTGCGCCTGTTGTTGTTGCTGTACAGCCTGCAGAGCAGCCAATTGTTGTTGCTGCTGCTGCTGCAGCTGCAGTTGCTGTTGTTGCTGCTGCTGTTGTTGTTGCTGTTGCTGAAATTGCTGTAGCTGCTGCTGCTGCATCAGCATTTGTTGCTGCTCCTTGGCATACGAACTGCCCACACCCGTAGTGCCTGGTATTTCGGTGAAAGTGTTGGTCGTACGTGGTTTTGGTGGTGGCAAAGGCGCCGGCGGTGGTGGCGGCTGCTGTGCTTGCGGCTGATGTGGCACAATTACCTCAGTCGTATACGTTTGCGGTATGCAGTCCGGTTGTTGGCAATAATCCTTCGAAACGGTTGCAATGGAGGGTGTCTTGGCGCTGCGCAGATTCGGCGAAGGGCTGGCGCCCTTCAGCGAGCCGCCATAGCGGCCGACATGGCGCAGCGTGGCGCACTTATTGGCTGTAGCGGCGGCGACAATATTCAAATTATTGTTGCAGCGCACCGCCTTCGGTCCGATGCTGATGTACTTCGGATCAAAGCGATTGAAGCTATTGTTGGTGACGTCGCGCGGATCACGATCATCATCGCGATCCAAATCATTGCCGGTGGAACGGTGTACAGCTTGTGCGGAGAGTACGGAGCGTATGGATGAGCCAGCTGAGCGTGGTAACGTAGCCGAAGTGAATATATTCTTGAGTGAGTTGTTGTGCTGCTGGTATTTGATGTGGTTGCTGGCGCCGAGGATGGTGGTGTTGTTGGTGTTGCTAATGCCTGCATTTGTGCTGCAGGCAAGCGATTCTCAGTAAAAATCGCTGGATTCAAGAGTCTTACATTGTTTGCTGAGCGTAGCGTATTTGCCATTATTGGGACCGCTTAGGTAGCCCGAGGAATTCTGCTGATGATGCGATGGTAGTCGTCCGAGTGTGTGGTGACCCGATCTGTGGGAAATGCGGAGGGAAAGCAAGTTAGAGAGGAAAGCAATAGTGGAGAAGTGAAAGCAATAAAAGGGTTGGAGAGAGATTTATGTATTAGACTTAGTTGCTAGCTACGCACGTAAATGGGTCACTGTAAGGGTCGGGTGTGAGTTGGATAATGGTGTGGTCTGGAGTCAGTAATATACATACATATCTACGTAAATTTATGCTTATATATGTATGTGTGTTTAACGATAATATTTACATAATATTGATAATAAGAAAAAAAATTAAAATTGTTTATAAAGTGCTTAAATGTAAATTGGTGCAGTTGCATATTAAGGTGCATAAATTAAGACGCGTTTTCATTAAGTTTGATAACCATCAAAAGTTTCATTAAACGTATTATAATGAACGAATTCTTTTATATGTATCTATTTGTTAACATAAAACAAGTTTTTTTGTCCGGATAAGATTATCAAAATAAAAATAAAGTATGCAAAATAAATATATTAAACAAGAAAATAATGTTATCCACTTCTTAATTTTGCAAGCAAGTGTGAAATTTCGAAAAATCAACAGTACGGATACAGCGGATAACCAGGATAACACTTACGCATAGACAACGATTGAAATATAGTAACTGGAATAAAAATATAATGTGTAAATATTTATCCGGATAGATTGATTGTAATATCACGAAAATATGTGAAGCAAAATATTTCAGATACTATTACGAAAATGCATAAAAGTGTAAAATTGCGCAAATTAGCATTACGGATAACCTGGATGACTCTTGTACATAGATAACAATTGACCTTTAATGCATATAATAATGAAATTACATTTAAACATTTATGTATATGAATAGAATAGAACTAGATGATAACACAAACAAAATATTTAGATATTACATTTCGGTGCATCTATGTATATTAGGGTGGTCCTTAAAAAAATCAAATGGAGGATTTTTATTGGTCTCACCCCTCAATCGGTAATACCACTATCACAGATATCACATACAAATTTTGGCCCGATTGGAGACGCTTAAGGCGCGTCGCATAGGGGGCAATGTACTGATTCCTCTATAGAGACTCAAAAAATTAAAATTAACTTTTTTTTCATCTAATACTCGATTGGAGTCGTTTAAGGCGTGTCGTAAGGACTCAAAAAATTAAAAATTATTATTTTTTCATTAAAAAAATTGCTTCCTACATTTAAGGACCACCCTATAGTATATTATTAACAAACCGCTCAAGAAATCGAATATGAACACTATGAAGCGTGATATTAGTAGCATTACGGTCAATGTGGATAACTCGGATAAACAGTTCACACTTAATTTAGGATTCAGTAGCAACAAATTTAATGCATTTTAACTATATAAAAAAAAATTAAATTATTATACCAACAACCTTACATCATGTTGAGTAAAAGTACCGCTTCAAAGGTAGATTTTTTGCATCTATTTAAAACTATATTTATGCTCAATAAATAGTATAATACTAACTTATCCGAATTATCCAGGTGATCCGAAACTATCTGAATAACTTCACACATTGTATTTTTTTGCTATTTTAAACAATTCCTCCGATGCATTTGACAAATTGTAGTTATCCGGATTATCCGTGTTATCCAAATTGCCTGAATAACGTTGAATCTGGATGATTCGGGTAAAATGGATAACCGATTAATCTAAGCAAATGCAGATTTGGATGCTGCGGATAACATGGATAACACGATTAACTTATTTTATTTTTAAATTGTACTTAATGTATTACATACATACATATGCAAATTGAAAAAGACAAAAATAAACAATTTGTTTTTTTTTATGTGGAAGCTAAAATAAATAGTAAGCTAGTGAAGCCTAGCTCAAAAAAAAAGTACCATAGGGTATCACCAATTTTTTGTTGGATACCAAGCTATTTGGTTAAAATTTTTCTATTTAAATTGCATGCCTGTCATAATTGTTTGTTCTTTTAAGATGATCTTTACTCAAGTGAGTTTGCTATAGATTTTTATTTTTTTTAAGAGTTTCAAGCGCTACATACCATAACAACTAGTAGCCACTTGCAGTGCATATTCATTCGCTATAAATTCATTATTAATTCTCATTCCTCAGGGTTAATTGAAGTGATTTAATTAGCTGCTTTGCAGTTAAGCCTTTCAAATTGGTTTGGACATTAGTGTAAAGCCCAAAAGTAGCCAATAGTATGCCAGCTGTTGAAGGCCCACGCCTAACTACATGCATACATACGTCTATATATGTACATAGTACATATGTAAATAGATACACGTCAGCACCAGGCTGCACACCCGCTCAGCTGTGGGTTTGAAATTTAAGTCAAAGGATACGAGAATATGGCTGCATATGTCTGCTCCCTTGTGCCACTGGAATTATGCATTTGATTATAGGTACTATATAATTATGTACGTATATTAGGGTAGTCCAAAAATGCATATGAAAAAATAAAGTCGGAATTTTTATGCTATCCCCCCCTAGGATTGTTTTATACCAAAAAAAAAAATATATACCCTTATTTTTTATTTTGAAATCAAAAAATATTTAGGCAGTGCTCAAAGCGCTCAAAGTTGTCCATGTATTTTTTATTGGGGATAAAAACTACTCTTTGCAGAAATCGTATAGAATTCTTGAAAATTAATATTTTTCGATCGGAAAACTCTGTTTATTTTCAAAAGATTCCCAATAATAATACCCAATTGTTTATTTAACCATTTTTTATAGTAACTATATTTTATAGGTAAGCCAAAAACCCCAGAAAATGCAATGGCGGGACCAATAAAAAATCTTTAGTATTAAATAATGGTTAAAATAATAATTGGGTATTGTTATTGAAAGTCTTCTGAAGAGAACCAGAGTTTTCCGATCGAAAAATATTGATTTTCAATAATTCTATTCCATTTCTTTGAAAAGTTGTTTTTCCCCCATATAAAATACATGGAAAACTTAGAGCGACCTCTAAATAGTTCTTAATTTCAAAATAAAAAATAGGGGTATACTTTTTTTCAATACAAAACAATCCGCCCTAATGTATATACATATGCACGCTGTTCAAAAAACATATGCATTTGTGTATATGGCTGCCGCACTCTTTGTTAACCTTACGTAAATATTTTGTAATCTGCTTGTGAAACGATATTTTCACAAGTGCGAACTTTGACCAGCAGCAGAGGAGAATGCAGCGGAGCTCATTATATTATGAGCATACATATGTTTGTGTGAATTCTTATGCGTTTCTATATGAAAATACACATGTTGATGTTTTAATGAAATCAGTGCGCATTTCATGTACATACATACATAAGTACATATGTATGTATGTAGTTAATATGTTTGTATGTAAGTATACACATATGCTCCATTTGGCCTTGGGTCACAAATGAAAGTGTGAAGTTTTAGCGAATTAAAGCATTAGCAGCGGTGCGAATGTATTTTAGCAGTTTGCTGTTGCGAATTATAAAAAAACTAGGTCAAGCATGTGAGAAAATTGTATTTGGGTTGGTGTAGAAAAATTTTTCTAATCTATAATTTTTGTATTTTTTTTCAAAGTAAAAATGATTTTCAGATTCTAAGAAATTGTAAACTGAGATCTTTTATTTTTTTTACGATAAATGTTAAAAGATTGTTTAAGAGTTTTATATTGTCAAGAACAGCAAAAAAGGTTTTATTCAAACTAATTACTTAAGCTCTTGAAAAAAATTTTTTTTTTATGTTTTTCTTGGTGTCACTGATACCCGTAATTTTTATAAATTTCACACTAACAAATATAGTAAATACAACAGTTTGTATTAAAAAGTTCAATAATAAAAAATATTTATTAAAGAAAAATTATTAGAAAAAAATTAATCCTTCTAAAGAAGAAATGTTTCATGAAATTTTTAAGCATTATTTTGAAATCTATATGTCATTTAAACAAAAACGCATTTTTGTTTCGAAAAGTAGTCTTTTAGTGAGCTGTAGCTTTAAAGAAAGAGAGAAAGAAAAAATTAGAATCATTGAAAAATTATCCAAAAGGAAACAGCATCTACAAGAGAAGTTAAAAAAAAAAATGGTTTGCACATTTTTGTAATATGTAATGAATATCTACATATGTATTTATGTTGTTTTTTATTGCAATTAACACTTTTAACAACAAAAAATTTAATTTATAGAAAAAAATAATAATTTTTTAGAAAAAACAGAATAATTTGATGAAAAATTTTATAGTATAGGGCTTTAATTGCTCTTGAATAATCATTGAGAGTTGAAAGAAATGTTTAGCCATTAAATGTAAATATTTTCGAATGCTGCAGACTTCATTAGGCAAAATAAAGAATGTTATCGTTATTTTTTAAATTTATAATTAAAATGTATACTTTGTGAAACTTTTCTAAATTTCATAATTCTTCGAAAATACATGCAAAAAGAAAGCTTAGAACTTTTATTTAATTTTTTGACGTTACTTATTTTTTAAAACATATATTTTTTAATAATTTTGATTTTTTTTTATTGTATGAAGCTAGGCAGTTTTTTAGCCATATATACATAGTACATATTTTAAAGTTAAAAAAATGTTGCATAATATTTTAAAGACCACACAAAATGAAAACATAAAATTTGCATGCAAAAAATATTGCGTTATTGTCTTTGAAACTAGTATATCGTATGTACATATGTATATCTAATTGTATTTTGCTTTTTCGTTTTGAGTTATTTCATCAAAATTACATTTTTGAAGTTGGAAAACAAAAAAAAACTTAAGCAAAAAGTTTAAAAATTAAAATATAAAGAAATATTTTTTTTTTCATTTTTATTCTTTCGGTTTATCCATTTATTTTGTCCAACAAACAGTGCAGCCTAAGTGCTCCGGTACGTATGAGTGACTTCGCCGCTCGCCAATGATGACTGCGCAAAAGGTTACGTATACGCCCAGTGAGGCGCATAAAAGTGCTTAAGTATAGCGACAGTTATAGATAACAGAATGCACTCAAGTGTGCATAACTGAATGCAATTGCATGATTTTAAGTGCTAAATTTATTGAAAATGAAAAAGGCATAAAACAGCTATTAAAATACAACTAGAAAAAAATGTAAATACATACATAATAAAAAAAATAATATTGAACGTATAATAAAAAATAAGACAAAATAAACTTAACGCATAGCAAATTTAAAGAATAAAATCTTAAAAAATTAAAAAAAAATTCATATTGGAAAAATACAATTTTTAGAGATAGATAAAATTTTAAATAAAGAACGCGAATTTTAACTTAAATTTGTTAGAAACCAACTAAAACCGTCTGCTAGGCTATCTGCCACTGAAATATCTTTCACACAATAACCACATACATACATATATATGTACATACTTATTGACATTAACTAGCTAG